TCATATATTAATATTACAACATAACTCTATGAGCTAGCTTTATACCATTACTGTAAACAATATTTATGTGACCAAATTTGTGGTAGAAAGCTTTTCAGTTCAGTTCAGTTCAGTTCATTTTTATTTCAAACATTTCAAACATGTGCCTTCACAATCATTACAAAATATCATTCCATTATTTGTTTGAAAAGGAGTAGGCTGAAGTATTTACTTATTTGTCCCTACCCCCTCAAGTTTTACCTCTCATTCATTTAATTTTTTTTGTCTTAAATTAAACAAACAACATATGAAACATATAAACATATGAAGTAAAACAAAACATAACATACATAAATAAAAAACAAGAAATTAGCAAGCCCCACCACAGTATAGTTTCTTTCATATGAAAAATACAGAATGTGTATATTTGCAGATACACAAGTTATGGAAAAACAACAACCAAAACAAAACAAAGAAACAACCAAAAAAGAACCGCAACACCATTACCAGCAACATTACCATCCTGGGTTAACCCCGTTTTCTTCATTCTTATACTTATTTAAAATTAGGTTTTTATATTTTACTTTAAACTGTTTTATGTTTTGACTGTCTTTTATTTCTTCTGTTAGACTGTTCCATAATTTAACTCCTGAAATTGAGATTGACATAGTTCTTAAAGTTGTTCTAGCACTTTGTATCTTTAAATTCCATTTCCCTCTTAAGTTATACCCACCTTCTCTTTCTATGAACAATTTACAGATTTCTTTGGGAAGCAATTTATTTCTTACTTTACATTATTTGCCGCTGTTTTAAGCTCACTAAGTCTGGAATTTAATAGCTTGCATTTTGACAAAGAGTGATTTGTATGGTCCCTGTACCCCACATTATTTATTAATCTAATGGCCCTTTTCTGTATTATAGTTATTGTTTGTGTGTTACTTTTGTATGTGTTTCCCCACACCTCTACACAGTAGCTCATATATGGCAGTAGTAAGCAACAGTATAAAATGTTGCAGTGCTTTCTGATCCAACATATGCTTGCTTTCCCAGGACGGTAATGCCCCGTGCCAATTTCCCCCAACATATAATGTGTGGCTTCCAACAGAGCTTGTGGTCAATGATCACCCCAAGAAATTTTATTTCATTTACTCTTTCTAAATATACATTGTCAACACATATTTCTACTCGATGTTTTTCTTTTGGTTTCCCAAACAACTAAATTTGGTTTTATCGAGATTCAATGATTAATTTATTATATCAACCACTTCTTTAATATCGTTAATTCCTGTTGATCATTTCCAAACCTGTGGCAACTCCCACACCTGAACAGTATATTGTTCATCTGCAAATATTACAAACTTTAAATCTCCAATACTCTGCAATATCATTTAGTACATAATAAACATTTTTGGACCCCAGTACTGAACCTTGAGTACTCACAAGCTATATCCATCAAATTAGATTTATATTCATTTATTTGTACATATTGTTGCCTATTCCCTACATAGCTTTTTAACCATTCCAAAACCACTCCCCTAAACCCGTACTTTTCCAGTTTTTTTAATAGAATTTCATGATTAACAGTATCAAACGCCTTCTTTAGATCTAAGAAAACTCCGAGCGCATACCTCTTATTATCCATACATTCCGTTATCTTTTCCATTAAATCTATCAGTGCCAAAGCTGTTGATCTGTTGCTTCTGAACCCATACTGACTATCTGTCATTAATTCATATTTTTCCACAAAACTGTCAAATCTTTTTATGAAGAGTTTTTCCAGTATCTTAGAGAACTGGGAGAGTATTGACACTGGTCTATAGTTTGTAAAATGATGTCTTTCACAGGTTTTGTAAATGGGAATAACTTTAGCAACTTTCATTTTTTGTGGAAAAACTCCTTTTTGAAACGACAAGTTGAATATATATTTTAATGGTTTTACAATACCATCAATAACTGTCTTTACCGTTACCATATCAATATCATTCCAGTCTGTACTGGTTTTGTTCTTAAGTCCTCTAACTATATCATAAATCTCTTTCTCTTCCACTGCTCTTAAAAACATTGAGCTACTATTCCTTTCAATATTTTCACCAGTGTCCCTTTCTATTCCATCAACCTTTATTTCTTCTGCCAGTTTTGGCCCTATGTTTACGAAGAATTCATTAAAGCCATTTACTATCTCTTCCATGTTATTAATACTTCTTGTCCCTTCTATAAAGTATCCAGGGTAATCATTATTCCTTGATTCATTTTTGATTATTCTGTTTAATACATTCCATATATCTCTTGTGTTATCTTTATTGTGTTCTAACCTTTTAATGTAATACTTCTTTTACAGGATCTCATTATATTAGTTATTTATTTTTGTAAGTTTTATACTTCATTTCAGTTTCTATTGTTCTCTTTTTATGAATTCTCGATATAAGGTATTTCTTTTTTTTTGCTGGCATTTTGTAGTCCTTTTGTCATCCATGGTCTTCCTGCATAGTTGTGTTTCCTATTGATTTCAATTACTGGGCAGTTTTTATCAAGTAATGTGTTAAATGTCTTAAAATCCTTCGTAAGCTTTTAATTCTGTTTGTTCATACACAATATTCCAATCTTGCTTTAAAAGTTCATTTCTAAGACAATTTAAGGTCTTCTCTGTTCTTATTCTTTTGTAAATAATCTTATGTCCATCGTTGTTCACTTTATAATGGCATTATACGATGCAAAGACTGGTAAAATGGTCACTTATATCATTGATTAACAGCCACTTTTTATCTTTCCTTCTATTATATTTGTAAATATATTATCTAATAGAGTTGCACAATGAGATGTTATTCTGGTCGGTCTTGTTATCAGTGGAAATAAACCGATGCTGTACATGGAATCAATAATTCTTCTGTACTCTTATTATGATTGGATTCAATAAGTCAATATTAAGTCCCCACAAATAAACATTCTTTTCTGATTTATATTTGTAAATAAGTCCCCCATATTATCCTTAAATATCTCAATCTTAGATCCTGGTGTTCTATATATACAACTGACAATTAGGTTTTTCCTTTTTTCTATAATTATTTCCACTGATAAACATTCCATCACTCCATCAATAACAGTTGTCATTCTTCCCATTCTTTTGTACTTTAGGTTTTTATCATGTAAAGTGCCACCCCACCTCCTTTCTTGTTGATCCTGTCTACATGAAGGATTCATATCCATTTATTTTAAAGTCTTCTTCTTTTCCAGGAGTTATCCAGGTCTCCGATATGGCTATCACATTGAATGGCTGTTCAAACTGTGTTATGTAGTCTTTGATGGATTGAAAGTTTGCATATAAGCTTCGACTATTAAGTGAACCATTGTTTACCCTGTTCTACCTTGAATTCCTTTTTAAGTTGCTCATTTGTATAATAATTGCATTCATTTGTCTTATTGTTAAAGAAATTACAATCAGGATCTATGTTGCTGTCATACATCAATGTCTTATTTTCAATATCTATATGAGTTGTTAGTTGAAAATTGTCAGACATCTGCGTTGGTTGTGCACTTGGACGGTCACATCATATTTAGCACTGCTTTGCATTTATCAGTTATATTTTTCTAGTTCAGTCATCTCTTTGATGACTAGAACCTTAGCTGCTCTGGTGTTCATTTAACTTAATGAATATTTACAGTCTGACGTCCAAGTTGACTGTATTTTCTTCTGTTTTCTTAATATTCTTGCTTGTCTTGCAATGTCTGCATTTTTCTTGATTAGGTGTTCATTTAAAATAAATTTGTACCTTTTAGCTTTCTTCTTGCTTGAGCAGTTCTTTTTTCTGTTTTCTATTAACAAAACGAATGATAATGGCAGGTATTTGATTTTTTCTCGGAAGAGGATGGCATCCTTCAATATTTTTACTGTCCATTTCTATACCTTTGCTTTTAAAGAAGGCCATTACCTGCTCTTCCAAAGAGCGTAGCTCTTGCTCGGGTGGCTCCCTCTCTCTGATGCTGCTACCCGTGCGTATGTCTGATGCTTGGTTTCCAGTCCTGTCACTATCACATCATTTACTCTTGAATATTGTTCCAGATCTGACACCCGTCCTTCCAGCATAGCAATCTTCTTGTCCTTTTCCTCGCTCTGCCTTCTTAGTTCTTAATATCATCCATTAAATTGAGTATCAGTTTTTGTTGTTTTGAAATTGTTGTTATTTCTTCAGACATAAAGTTTAGGGATTTCTTTATGTCCTCCAGTTCCTCCTCATTAACGTTGCTCCTCTTAGGCGGCATCTTAACGCTCCTGGGCCTGGTGGAGCAGGAGGATCCTGGGCCTAGTGGTGCTGGAGGATCCTGGGCCTGGTGGAGCAGGAGGATCCTGGGCTAGTGGTGCTGGAAGAGCCTGGGCTGGTGGCTGTGGAAGAGCTGGGCCTGGTGGCTGCTGGGGATCTGGGCCTGGTGGCTGCTGGAGAGCCTGGGCCTGGTGGCTGCTGGAGGATCCTGGGCTGGTGGAGCAGGAGGATCTGGCTAGTGGCTGCTGGAAGAGCTGGGCCTGGTGGCTGCTGGAAGGCCTGGGCTGGTGGCTGCTGCAGGATCCTGGCCTGGTGGAGCAGGAGGATCTGGGCCTAGTGGCTGCTGGAAGAGCTGGGCTGGTGGTATATGTAAAAATATATTCTGCTATAAATAAAGGTTACTTGCTGACCTAATAAGAGTATAAGCTTGAGTGAGTATTTCTTCCTAACTGGATTAAACATTAATTTACCAGTATAACTATTTTATGTAATGTATGCTTGCCAAAATTAGAGCTGTTTAAAAGCTGTTGTGCATGATATTTATTTTCAAGACTTTTTCCTACATTGGCACTTTAACACCTTGCACTTTTAAACCTTTCTACAACTCAGAGTGAGTCATGTATGTGCTGGGAAATAATACAACAGGTAGGCGGGGGGACAAACAGACAGAGCGAGTGAGAGAGAGAGAGGGAGAGAGGAAGTGGTGAGGATGCTCTACAGTCGCTGCAGCACTTGGCTCCTCATTTCACCACAGTCAGCCTAAGAGCTGATATCACACAGTATTTCTCTGTCACTGCCTTTTCCCAGACACGCATTGGCCAGTTTCTTCACAGCACCATGCCGATCAAGGTGAGTGAGAATCTCTTCTTTTTTCCGCCTCTCCACTTTGTGTTAAGGGGGGCAAGCGGTCAACTTTTCCATCTTAATCTGTGCCATCTTAGCTGTGAATGTGTCATTGTTTTAGCATGTGTGGGCCATTCGTGTGCCTCTTTAGAGGGAAGATATGCTGGCGATGGTATCACAAGAGGAAATCAGCTCCACTTCCTTTTCGTCAGAGAAAAATAAAATGTGCCATAGCCAGCTGGCGAGGAGTTGCCATCATTTGCATGCATGCAAAACAGCTGCCGTGTGTGTGCTGTGTGAGGAGGGTTCAGGTTTAAACATTCACATGAACTGACTGAGTTAAATATAGGCCTTCAGTGAAAGCACTCAGCTAAAAGTAGACATCAATTCAGAGGTCTTTTATAAAAAGCAGTGTAAAGGACCGGCGTTGAGTTCCTGTTCGAAATGACAGAGTTGTAAAGAAGTGATCACTCAGATGTGTGTGAGTTTGGAGGATGTTAGCAATACTGCTGACGTTTGTTGCATCATAATGAAATGTGTTTCTAGTCTAGACTATATTGAGATGAGGGCCTGTGGGCTCCACTCAGGGTGGAATGTTTAATATTTTAATATAACTTTTATGGACAATATATGACAATACCAAAAGATCCATCTGTGCATGTTCAAGCAAGAATGTCATACTTAGTTATACAGTATAGTGTCAGAAAGTGCTTTATAACCCAGTACATGGTATATAAATGAAGGACATAACAGCAGCACAACGTTTCAAGAAAGGAAAGAAACAACACTAAAATGTGAGATAGAATATTCCAGCTCAGAAGTAACAAATGCATCATCAGCATCAACAGTAGTAAGTTAGTGTAAAGTAGCTTGACTTATGCTAAATAATATTGTAATTTACAAAATGAGCCTCAAATTCCATAAAAAAAAGAGACTGGAAACATGCTTATATTAATGGATCTTCTTTATATAAGGAGAGAAGTCGCCATCTTTGACTGTTAGAAAAAGAATCAGGTTTAAGACATGATCACATTAGCTTTGCCTTTCAGTTGCCTTAAGGAACATTCAGCTTTTATATACAGTAAATGCATCACTATTGGCCCCTTTTAAGCCATCCAGGCATGAATATAGAGATAACTCCTAAATGTAAATAAATACTTTTTTTGATGGACTGAATTGTCTTAACACTCCTTCAGTGGCTGTTTGGGTTGGCGATGACTTCCTGTACCAAAGCTGAGGAATTCAAATATCTTGGGCTCTCAATTGGCTCAATTTTGGCTCTCCCTTAGATATAGAGTTAGTAGCTGGGTCATTTCTGACAAGCTAAGAGTGGAGCAACTAATCCTCCACATCGAAAAGAGCCAGCTCATTTGGTTCAGGTATCTGACTAGCATGACTCCTAGGTGAGGGGTTTTATGTCTTATCGGGAGCAAACCCAGTTGAGTTTGCATTGCATTACTAGCTTGGCCAAGCCTCAATGTCCCCTCTGAAGAGTTGGAGTAAAGTTGGAGTCAATATGTAAAGTGTTGCAAAGCCAAACCAAAAATAATCTACCAAAGAGTTTATGTCCATACAATTAACCTCATTCACTGATCTGATCCACTAGGTCAGTTTTTAATAATCTTTAGCAAGGTTTTTATATCTATTCAGCTTCTAATTTAAACATGCAAAGGAGAGCTGCAGGTGAGATCCTTGAAAAAACAAGTTTTGCCGTCACGACCCCCTGAAAAGACAGTTGCATTCTCTTAGAGACAGACCGCGAAACCACATCCTGAAACAGTGCTTAAATTAGACAGGGGCTTGTCTGCCAGGATAGAGTTTTCAAATTTGCTCATTAAACAAGATGATGTTACTAGAAGAAAAGTAACTTGTGTTTCCTAATGTTGGTTAAAATGCTGGTGCAGTTGCAAACTGAATCACAGAATACCTCCAGCTGATGCCTTTATGTACACACGTAAGTCAACTGTGTTAGTGTTAGTGCATCTGCCCATTTTCTGGCACAAATATAATGCAGCTGTAACCTATATGGACTTGTTGCCAGGTTTCCAGATTATAGATTTTGCTGATTAAAGGTGTATAATTTATTTGTTACACTTACGTAATGCTTGAATCTCCAATACTGCTTATGTGCAGATTAATTTTTTCAATTGTTTCCATATTTGTTTGTTTGAAGTTTAAGTGGTTGTGTATGTTTTGAATGCACATTTGCATGAAAATACGAGGTACTGAATATGTTGTAATTTAATTATAAACCTTCCTGGAGTTTCATCCATGATAAAGAATGATATAAATATGTGGTTATGGGGAATTGCTGAAGTTAATTTTCACAGTTTTAAAACTGCATATATTTTCACGAGGTTGAAAGTAACACCTCACAATACAGCCCTCAACTTTCCACATCATAGTCCTACAGTTATTTTCAGCATCTAAAATTAGAACTTATGCAGAGTACAAGAAGGGAGTTTTTTCAGGATATTTGAAAGAACGGCAGGGTTCAATATATCCAGTGGCACAATGGCTTAGGGCCAGAAAAAAAGTATGCAGGCAAATTGGTTGGACTTCTGTTCAAGCCAAAGAAGGTCACCTGTGAATTGTTTCACATTAAAATACCAATACATGTCCTTTATCACTCCACCTGTTTGGATAGTTTGAAACAGTCTTTTTAGTTATTCAAATCCACCAGTGGTTTGTTGTACTCGGTTATAGCGCAACTAAATTAAACAGAAAGCAAAGTGAAATCTGTCTGTGTTAAAAGAAGCTTTTAGATCTTTAGATTTTGCACAGATGTCTATGCTGCAAGCTGACAGCAACCACCCAGTCTCTTTTTAGCAGCAACACCACAGAAGGCAGTTCAGGTGAGTTTAAAGTGGGGTACATGATTTACTCTATTATATTTACTACAAAGCTTCAGATTTATGAAATTAAATTAGCAAATATATTTGGTGGTATATGAGGGGAAGGGAAAACTTGTCTGTATTTTTTGTAATTTCAGGAGAATTACATTGGAAATAAACCATAATCTAAAGCCCATGCAATTGAAATGAACAGATCTTGGTATATGGCTTCATTTCGCTAATCACTGTGTCCTTTTTTGGAAGCTGATGATCACATAATCAGGAAAACACTGTGCACTGTTATAACACGGGGGGATTGAACATGTAATAGTTCCCAATCCTTCTTAATTGGGATCAAGCGTTGTTGTGAAGTATTCTGGAGTTAAAAGACTAACACATTCATCAAAAGGTCCTCAGAGTCCAGAAGTACCCCAGACAGAAAGATTATTGAAAGCCCAGGATATACTGTAAGTCACAGGAACAACTAGACAAGACTGATTGGGAAGCTTTTCACTAGCGTGTGTGCGCTTTGCATTGACATTCATGCAAATGCAACACATTGTGTAACTCCTTTTTTCTTTACATCATCCACAGGAGCAGCCTACCTGGAAAATGCACTTTCTGTAAATTGTTTTGTTTGTGCATTTACCACTGAGGGGAAAAAAGGAACTCGGGCAGAATCAAAGTTGGAGGAAGGACAGCCGAGCTTCCCTCTAGTCCAGTTCTCTCTGTCCAAAAGATGTCAGCATCCCCTGCCAGCACCCTAGGAAGGGGAACCAAAACCTCTAAAGCGTCAAAGGATCATAAAAAGGTGAGTGGATCATTTCAAGCAAGCAATGGAAAAATCTTCAGGTAGGAACAAAATTACTCCCACCCAAGTCATTGCTGATGTCAAAACAGAAAATATCTGCGGTCAAACAGAACACTGAAACCAAAGGTTGTTTTTTTTATTTGAGAGTCTAAATGTGAAACTTATTATTTTCTTTCCTGAGCTATTTATTTTAATTATTGACTACACCATGATCTTGGGAAAAATAATTAGTAGCTTAAAGGGGTAATAAAAATCCAAAAAGTCATACAGAAAGTCATGTGCAATATTACTTTAAGTCAAATGAAGTGCAATAACGTGACTGCAGCTACTCTTTCATCAGCTGTGTTATGTAACAGAGCTGCTCTGTGAGGTAGGGAACAAGTGGTGGGAAAATGGTGTGATTAGGCTGATCGGCTTCACACTCTGGCTCGCAGGAAAAAGCTCTAAATAAGTTCTAAAGTAAAATGTCTGCTTTTCTTTTAATTGGAAAAATTAATTTACAGGTATTAAGGCTTCGTTTAGTATTTGAGGTTGTCCTGAAGTGCCGGGAGCCTGTTCCAGACTTGCAATATAATCAAAGCAGTTTATTTTAAATGATTTGTTTATTTTAATTATTTTCTGATATAAATGAAGACAATTGTTTTAGTCACACTATATCGTTACATTTGGTCCACAATGAAATGCTGTGACTTACTGTAACACACTATGGCGTTTAACTGTGCCCATAATACAGCCTCACAGAGCACCAGGTGTCACTTTGAAAAAAATCCAGAATGAGCCCCTGTTAAAAACAACAGACATATTTTGTATCTGTTTGGTATCTTTGTATCCATACACAGAATCTTACCAAAACAAAAACAAAAAGAAATGCTGACCATTAAAATCTGTAGGGATGATTATAATTTTGCATTTAGCACAATTTTATCATTGAAGACTGTACTTTATCACAGGCAGTATAAAAGATGGCCATAACACCCATGGCATCACCCATTGTTTTAGGTTTCTGCAGTTTTGAAGCCCCAGTGTTAGAATTTTAGGCCATATGTTTTGTTTTTCAGTATTAAGTGACTATAAGTGACAATGGGAATGCTAACTTTTGGAGTACCAATTGTATTCTCATTGGCTAATCACTTGTTAGCTACATCCATGTTTTATGCTCTCTATGCATGCAACACACAGATACACATGCAGGCTAATAACAGGGATACGTAACAGAGTAACAAAATACTGGAATGTTTCTTATCAAAATTAAAGCAATAGATTCTTGGAAAGTTCAAAGAGGAGATAATAACAGTGAGCTCCATGTTAGCAGAGGAGAGGCCTAGCTACCTGAATCGGGAGATCTGTCAGGGAGATCAGAGAATAAAAATAACTCCCTCATAAAGGACAAAATATTTTTTGTGGTACCAGGTGATAAATCTGTCTTTTATTGCTGTAAACTTGTACATTTTGAGAAGAGAGCCAACCTGAAGTGATCACTAGAGAAACTACAGTTTCTGGTTCTTCAGTGTTAGCTAAATTTTATAGTTTGCTGTTTGTGTTTCACATGCTTCCTACATCAAAAAGCTTCAGCTTACTATCCTCTTTGTATATTAACACGATATCTAAAAATGATATAAATAAGACCATTAATCTAGCTAATGCTGTCCTCACTGTGAGGCAACTGTAAGCACAGTTTTACTTTGAATTAAATGCTAACATGCTCATAGTTACAAAACAAACTAAAGGAGCCATTATTGGTGATGTCAGCATGCTAACAAATACTGGAGATTAAAATTCCTACTGAGAGAAGCTTGCCAATGCTATAGCTAATCCAGTGTTGAGGTATTTTTGCACCGGACCAAAGTGTTGAACAACGATAAACTATGTTACAAAGAAAGCAAGAAAATGTGCAACTAAGTGCCACAAAAAAAAATCCTAATTCTAGGATGTCTAATTTGTTTGTTAGCCTACACCAGCTGCACTCAAAGGCGCCATCCAGCTGGGCATCGGTTATGCTGTGGGAAACCTCAGCTCGAAACCAGACAGAGATGTTCTCATGCAGGACTTTTCTGTGGTGGAGAGCGTCTTCCTGCCAAGGTACACTCACATTTGCACTGCAATCCTTTCAGAGAATGACCAATGCACATGCACAGGGATTTCCCCCCCATATATCTAGGATGTTTTCTATGCATGTTAGGTTTACTCTGAAATGTCAGGGAGTTTAATTTTATCACTACCTACCAAGGAACTGAATGCATTTTTGGGAGATTTGAGTAAGCTTTAAATCCCAGATTGGCCTCATTACATAGCACATCAAGTCACAATCCAAGTACTAAGCCTAAACCCCAAAATGAACCAAAACTATGTAAGTCAGCTAAGTGTGACAAGTGTGGGAGAAAGTGACGATGTCACTCTTTCCCAGCCTACAAAAAAAATAAGTTGACTACATATTACCAACGAAAGAAAGAAATGCAAATTATTATTATGAGAAATCTTACTCTAAGTTATTTAAACAAACACAGTGGCAGCCAACCTGTATTGCTGTTAAGAAAAGAGGGAAGTTACCTTTAGAAGTGTGCAAATAATCACTTGTGGGTTGACAGAAACCACATGTTTCAGCAACCCCATTATTTCTCAGTAGGCATTTTGCACTTGGTCACTAGAGGAAGATAATACTGCAGCTGTTTCTTTCCAGTAGTTCATTTCATGGATATCAGCTATCAGTAATTTTCAATAGTTACACCTGTGCATTTCTAACCATGACCTGTTACATGCTCATGTCACAGTGCTCCTAAAAGTTGCAAATAGCTAGACTAATGAATATTTTGTATGTGTTCCAGTGAGGGTAGCAACCTGACCCCGGCACATCACTTCCCAGATTTCCGTCTGAAAACATACGCCCCACTGGCTTTTCGCTACTTCAGAGAGCTCTTTGGCATCAAACCGGACGACTATCTGGTGAGGGTGGAGACCCAAATTCACATTCTGGCTCACGACAATGTGGTGTAAATTTCCCCTGAGTTGATTGCAAAACATTGTTCGGCTTAAACTGTTGCCTCACTTTGAATTTCAGTACTCCATATGCAATGAGCCGCTGATAGAGCTGTCCAACCCCGGTGCTAGCAGTTCCTGGTTTTACCTCACCAGCGATGATGAGTTCATCATCAAGACAGTGCAGCCTAAAGAGGCAGAGTTCCTGCAGAAGCTGCTTCCTGGTTACTACATGGTGAGCTACTAAATAAACAAGTCTTAGCACATTTGCATTAAAGCCATACAGCAACATATGTTTGCATTACTCAAAGCAAGGTAAAGGGCGGGAGGGGGGGGGGTTATTCTGGCCACACATGAAGTATTGTGTAAGTGCAACATACAGTTCCATACTACTAGTAATTACTTAAGTTTTAACAGTTCGCTCAAGCTGCTTTATATGCTAATGAAAAACACTCAACATTATTAGCGAGAACCCCACCTATTAAAATTAATTGGTGAAAGTGGTGAGAAAGAACACCTATTTGACAGGAAGAAACACCCAGCACAACCAAGTTCAGGGAGGTGCAGGAGTTAACAGATGGTCAGGATCACACAATCCATCCCTAATTATAATCTTTATTAGAAAAGAAGATTTCTGTCGGCTGAACCTAAAATGGAACTGCTGTGCACATGCATCAGCACATGGACATGACTAGCTAAAATGTTACTTTTGGGGAAAGGGAACTGATTACTATATCACCTTTTAATATGCCACTGATATAATCTACAGTTCCCAAAATGACCTGTTTACATGTGTATGTTCACATTTCTTCTCCGACCACTTATTTTGGACTAATTCCTATTTGAAAGTTGCAGTTTCAGTCTTTCTCTTCTTAAATTGACTTAAAATGGACAATAAATGATTCATTTGGACCAATATTATCAGGGACATTTACTCCTTCTCTGTTTATCACTTAAAAAAACCCATCATCTTTGTTATTGTAGAATCTCAATCAGAACCCGAGGACGTTACTGCCCAAGTTCTACGGCCTCTACTGCATCCAGTGTGGAGGCATCACCGTTCGAGTGGTGGTCATGAACAATGTGCTGCCGCGAGCCATGAAGATGCACTACAAGTACGACCTGAAGGGATCCTCGTACAAACGCCGTGCCTCACGCAAAGAGCGTTCCAAGCCCTCACCCACATTCAAAGACCTGGACTTCCAGGACATGCACGAGGGCCTGGTCTTTGACCCGGACACATATAGTGCCTTGATGAAAACCTTGCAGAGGGACTGTCGGGTATGTTTACATGAGGATGTTACATCCATTAGCAACTATGTGTTGCATTCAATAGATAAATATTGAATGGAACACATTTAAGATGTGCATTTTTACTTGTCGGATATATCAACCGCTAACATTTTTAAAGAGCACAAGTCAAAAATGTACTTTTTTCATGATACTTGAAACAACATAGTCTAACAACTTAATTAAAAAAAAGATTGCCTTAAGAGGGTTGCTAGCTCATCATTTGGGGACCATTAAAACCGTAACCTTTGTGTTGTCCTCGGGCAAAAAATGGTCCCTAGGTGAATGGCAAACAAGTATATGGGAATCCCGAGGACACCAAATCCAGCTAAACTACCATTTTTATGTTGTAAGCCACATCCACTAAACTGCTGGCTAGTGAAGTAGATTTAGTGTTTAGTCTAGCATGCCTTCAGCAATACATTCTCATCCTGAGGGCTCACATAATGCGGGGTTATCCGATGCTGCTTGCATCTCACTTTTATGAACATCGTGTGTGTCAGGATGGCAAAGTTGGGAGCTGAGTTGTAATGCTCCCATTTTAGAGACACTGGAAGTTTTTTAGTCAGGAGGCTATGCTTAACAGTCCGTTTATACCTTTTTATTTTGCTTTGTTTTTTGCACACTCGCTAATTAATTTTCTTTTGACGCGTTTTTTTTTTTTCTTAATTGTAGGAGTGTCCTGCTGTTTAGGCATGGCAGCAGGTTATTGTCTGTTGTAGGCGCTGCACTTTGCGGTTGTGCATTGTCGCAAGGGTATAACATCAAAGTTATGTGGGCTACAACTGCTGGTGTCTTTGCTCTTTTTAATCAAGTGAAACTGAGTCATTAAAAGCAGCCATTGTTTGTGTTTCTCGCGCCCTCTTTAATCTTTAATCTTTTTGTTTTTGCTTCTCACTCGTCCTCCCCTGTTGTTCACAATAACTTTTGAACTAATCATCATCCTACCTACATTTATCGCCCTTTTAACCTCACTGTTCACTGTCCAGTCAGACCTCTCATGTCATCAGTTGCAGATATTTTAACTGTTCCCAGAATTAGATCTAAGGGTGCCCAAGGTGCTTTCAGGTATTTGGAAAAACCTTTTTATGTACACATGCCTGCATTCAGTATGTTTTTGTTATTGGTTTTTGTTCTAATTTGTCTTGCTTTATTATAGTTTGCTGTTTTCACTGAGTTTGGCATTGTAAACCTACACTGGTTTTCATGTTCTCCTGTGCTGAGCACATTGAGTTTGCTTGTAATGAAATGTGCCATATAAATGAAATTGCCATTGCCATCATCATAGGGCGATGCACTGCTGGAGTTTCATGGGATTGCACAAACATGGGACCATAAATCCTACAATAGGCACTTAAAGGTGCTTGGTTGGGTTAATTACAACCACTTGGTTTGAGTTAGGATGATATCAGTGTTTGATTTACATTGCATGTACCTTGCTTGCAGCTCAGACATGCTAATAACTTTGACACAGTAAGAACATCCTGTTTTCATACATGAGCTTTTGACAGTGTTCAGAGATTCTGGTCGGTTGACCTTTTCCACATGTTGTGCAACAATAAGAGATGGTTTGTCTGACATGCTCAGAACTGATTTAGGCGATATGACACAAGACACCTGATGCTCACTAGCTGTGAATTATCTCGCAGGTTTAATAGGATCTTCCACAAAGCTTGTTCTTAAGAATTTGGAAGGTAAGTGTTGCCCAAATTTCGAATGCTTAGCTATACTCTCTAAAAGGAAAGGTCCCAGAAAATCCCAGTTATTCCAGAGCTCCAAACTAAATGGTCATGAGGATAAAACTTTTATCAGAAAAACATCACTCACTTGGTTTTTATGCCAAAATAAACCCAAAATCCAGAGTTTATATTCAGCCAATGATAACTGCGCAATTCCCCTACTTTGATAACATCACACAGGCCAGCACCTGGAACTGTGTCCCTGTTTGTTATTCCCTGAGCTGTTTTGATGACTGCATTAGTGCATGCCTGTTGTTTCATTAGCGAGAAACAATAGTGGTCACTTGATGAAGGATTAGCGTGCAGCAGAGCGAAACACCTGACTAATGGTCAGGCGGAGCAGCTGGACGCTAAAGCGCAAACTGGATGTAATACGCTCATACTGGGCTGCTGTATACGACCTCAGTTAGTGCATTAGGTAACGCAGCACATTTTAAGGCCCTCTTTATTTACAAGAGGTACTTCGTGACATAAGTGCTTGGTCAGAGGGATTGAGGCTTATGCTTTACTGTATTTTTGCTTATAGATCCAGGGTTGATCTCTGGGAGTGGGACTTCCTTCAAAGTAAAACTTTTTATTCATTTATTTTTATAAAGAAAATTGAACTGTAGGTGATTTTTGTTTTATTTTATTACTCAAATTATTATATTGTTAAAACCACTGAGTAAAAAATGTGGACATATATCAAAAAGGTGATATAATAAACAAAATAATGACGGGAAATTCTCTATTGCCTTTGTTTGGTGATCTGAAACATTTAAGTGTGACAAACATATAGAAAAAATAGGAAATCAGAAAGGTGATTGCAGCTGATTGCTTGACAGATAAGCAAGCATTCGTGCAGCTCTGTGGGGTTCATGTCCGTATCAAGTAGCTTTCTTTAGCAGGCATGTCATTTGTAACCTCCACGTGGCTAACCTGTTAGCTCATAAATGCCAATAATGGAAGGGTTTAGGTATGAGGTCTAAGTAGGGAACAAATTAAAGTACTGACCTCTTTCTTTTTGGTAGATTAAACGTCAGAGGATCACCAGATCATTCTGAGGGATAAATAAATGTTTATTTGCTCAGACAAAATCTCATTAACAGTTGGCAAAATTTCCTGTTCAGCTCAGCTGTGGGATTCAAATGAAATATCTCTTTATTTGGGAATATAGAGAGATACTAGGCCTATGTAAGCAACTAGAAGCCTCGGACACACATAACCACAAAATGTCTAATACCGCAGGCTCTGTTCTGTAGGCTCGATTGACCCTTTTAGTGGTTCGTGTCTGTATTTCGTTACACGAGTTGCCTAAACAATGACTGATGTGAACTTTACCTCATTTTAATGTTTTGATGATTTGATTTCAGCATGGCATAGCCACCATTACTTCATTCATTTTCCTCTACTGAAAATACAACACTAATTCAGATTTATTTAAATGAAGAGTAATGGATTATTTTAATCCCACAGCTGTTCTGTTAGCTTTGTTTATTTTTATAATGTAAATCTTTCATGGCCTACCGCATTCAAGGTCCACCAGAAGGTCTGTAGTGTGCAGGTCACACTGTGACATGCTTTTTGATGCTCTAAAGGTGGGCATTTCAGAATGGGAGTTTCTTTTAAACAATGCCACTGAAGTAGTTGCAGGTTGTTTGTTTGGCCAGAACCTTATAGTGTCCCTGTAAATCAGTGGGCTCTGGGGAACTTAGTGTCATGGTTTCAGACCTGATAGCCACTAGCATGTGTAGTATTTAAACAGTTAAAAGAATGGAAGGTTAAAAAAATTTAGCGCTGACAAACTAATTATTAAACATTAAAGAAAAATTTTTAATTTTCAAAGGGGGTTCTTAAAATTTGATTCCCTGAGTTCAGTTTTGGTCTCTTATCAGGTCCTGGAAAGCTTTAAGATCATGGACTACAGTCTCCTGCTGGGGATTCACGTTCTGGATAGGAAGCCGCTGAGCAGAGGAAGCAGATGTGACAGCAGGAGAGGACAGAAAGTCCTCTACTCCACCGCCCTCGAGTCCATCCAGGGGAATGTCAAGGACCCAGAACCAGTGGCAGATGATGACACGTAAGTGGACACTTTGGACTAAGCAGCACATATGATAGAGGAAACCTTTTTTAACATCTCACATCACAAGTTATTTTTATCTTAAAATAAGTATTACCATATACTTTATACATACTAGTTTGCACACAGTCAAATCTAATAAGAACGGTTTGCTTCATACTAAAACGCCTGTTTTTAGGTCTTGTTTCCCTTATTTTTCTAGTGGCTTTTTTTTAAAACCCCACTGCTCGCTGATCTGGTCAAAAATGTAGAAAAGCTGGACATTCAAAAGCATAATTTCATTTAAAAAACTGTAAAATTATCATAATTTTTTTTCCAGATTGGGTGGAATTCCTGCCAAACATAAAGACGAGAGTCTGCTCATCTTTTTAGGAATTATCGACATTCTTCAGTCTTACAGGTGAGCTCACAGCATTAACATGCACAAAAATAACATGCAGAAGACAAACTGTCTCATCATCCTTACTCAGCTGCACCTGGATCAACCATCCCCATGCAGCATTACAGAAACATTTGTAGACTTTTTTTTTTCAAATTCATTAAAATAGGCAAAGACATGCGACTCTTTTTTTGTTTGTGACTCTTGTTTCCTTGGCATTATTATTAGTTTATATTTTATGATTCTCAGGTTTTCATCCTGTTTTCCTGCTTCAGAAACATTTAAATTAGTTTAAACACTCATTACTGGCTCAGTAAACACAGGCTATATTATTTGTTATTTATTATTTAAACTTGGAAAATCTACCAAAATGGGATCTGTCCCCATCTCTCATGGCAAGATTGACACAGTCATGGCTGTGAGGCACGGCTGCAGCTCAGGCTCAACTTGGCTGAGGTGGCCTTCCAAGTCCAAAACCCACAACTAAATTAAAGAGATGCATTGCAGCAAAGCCATCAGAAGCATAGAAGGCATGTAAAAGCTGGATTTGCAACAAAAATGGATGAACGAATACCAACAGCTGTGACAGTAAATTGTGTTGAAAAGATATAATTTCAGGTAATACCACTTTGTACCACAAGATGGTGCAGTCAGGACAACCGTTATTCAACCAGGCAAGTCCTTAATAAAAGCACATTCTTATTTATAACTGCAGCCCCTAGAACAGGGGTGTCGAACTCCAGGCCTCGAGGGCCGGTGTCCTGCAGGTTTTAGATATCACCCTGGGTCAACACACCTCAATCAAATGATTAGTTCATTGACTCTGGAGAACTTCAAGACATGTTGAGGAGGTAGTTTAGCCATTTAATTAATTGTTGGATCAAGGACACGTCTAAAACCTGCAGGACACCGGCCCTCAAGGCCTGGAGTTCGACACCTGTCCCCTAGGGGAAATAGAGGTATTTAAAAGGAAATCTAAAAAGCTAAACAGCTCACGTTTATGTGAACATATACGGTTAACCACTGCCCCCTGGTGGTGAAAAGCAAGAACAAAAAAACAAAAATTTCAAGGCTGTGCAGCACAACCTTGCTAACCACAGTGGCTACCTCCATTTTATTATATACAGTCTATGGTCGAGAGCAAGCATAAATATTTACACAAGTAAAAATGTTACATAATGAACTCATTTGATTTTCAATTTTTAATCATTTTCAGGTTCGTTAAGAAGGTGGAACACTCCTGGAAGGCTCTTGTACATGACGGGGTCTGTAATACTTCTTACTTCTCCTTAACTCCAGGCTGTTTTATCCCTTATGTATGCAGCTGCTCACACGTGTGCCCTGTTTTCATTTCAGGACACAGTGTCAGTGCACAGGCCCAGTTTTTATGCAGACAGATTTCTGAAATTCATGGGCACGACTGTTTTCAAGAAGAGCCATCGTAAGTCATGCTAACCTGCCACCATTCTGTTTCCTGCATAAACGCAGCTTTTGTTTTAAATTCTTTCTCTGTGTGTTTAAGCTTTAAGGGGAGCATCTTCAAAAAGGAAGAAGAACTCTCTTTATGCAAAGTCAGTCTCCCAGGAGATTCTGTCACCGCTGAAGGAGATGAAGGAGGAGAAGAAAGCCCAAAGCATGGACAACCTGGATGGAAACTGTAAGCTGTTTCTTTTGTTTATGTTTGTTTTATTAGAAGCTTTGCTTGACTTGTTCGCTGACGGTGTGTTTGTTTTTAACAGTTTACAGTTCCTCCAAACAGCCGGATCTTCTACCTGAGTCTGCCGTTTCTTTAAAACTGAGCGGAAAAGAGGAAGAAGACTATGAAAACAGGTACTTCACATGTACTGCTTTCAGATCAAAGCCCAGTTTTCAGAAGAGAAGTTGAAAAGTTGATATTTTGATCTGATTCACACTGACACAGACATGAAAGTGTGTAACCATTGAGATTATTTTTGTGGACATTGTTTAACTTGCACATATTTGAAGCCTTGAAATTTGGCCGTTGCCATGTTGTTGGAGCCATAAAGGACCATATTTGGATGACAGGGTGGTGAACTATGTTATCAGGAAGCTGCTCAAAAAGGCTTTAGTGTATGGGGATCAACTTCCTTATGGAGCCAGCAATGAAGTGGCCATTTGAGGAATTGTGTGTTTTTAGGAGTTGCAGTTCATTTTCAGCTCTAAAGTTTGCTTCTTGTGGCTTGTGAGCTGCAGTTTTTTTCCCCTGCCACTGATGAAATGTTCCAAATAACTGTGTTTTTACTGTTTTCTAAAGAGCTAAAGCTACATCTTTCTTTTGATATTCAACAATATATTCTGAGAGGATGCTGAACGATGAATGATGATGTAGACATTAACTCGGCTCATACACAACAGTAAATTGTATTTCTATGTTGCAGTGAAGACCGACGAGCCTCCAGTTCAACGATTGCTCTGGACGATCCACTGCCGTCCCTCAGCAGAAGCCAATCTGACTCTGAACTGGATGTCTACTTGGTAAGCCATGTAATTTCAATTGCAGAGTCTTAATGGGTTCTGTAATGCTATAGCTTATCGTTAGAATACAAGCAACCCAGGCCCAGCACCGAAGACCAGTAAACATTTAACAAGCAATCCAGTCGGAGCCCTGCTGAATGAGGCTCAGACTGGCTCCTGAGAAGAAAGTGAACAAGATTATTTTTCAAGCTGAAGCTTTAACATCCATCTGTGGTTGTACACCCCTCACTCAGTACAGCATCAAACTGAATTATTTAGCTAGAGAACAGATCTCAGGCTACATTCACTTGTCACACAAGGGGGAGGAGGGGAAAAATATTCAGGGAGGTCAAGCTCAGATGTTTCTATGTCCAGAAACGACAGTTTAAATGTTATCGGCCCACTGAATTGTTTGAATAGTTCCATTCGTGTCACCTCATCTGTTTCATTCAGTCTTAGAAACAGAAAGTATACATCTGGTGGTCATGCCAAGAAGTGACTGTAAAATCTCCAATTGCAGATACCGTAGCAATTAAGTTATGCTTTTGGTGCCTAAAATAAACTACCTGCTTAGGTTTATTTTATTTTGGGGTTTACATCCAACCAAACAGCTCATAAAAATCGCTTTGTGCATAAAAGCTCCAAACTTTTCGATATATTCTCACATCCATATGGGGTCACTTGCAACATTGTTTGTTTGGCACACGTCTTTCAAGACATTGCTTTACCAAAGACCATGAAAGATAAAGCCACCAACACCCACAAACCCACCCATATTTTAACCATGCATTTTGAAGCTTTCATACTAGTGTTTTTGGTTGCAACCATGTAGAGCCATTTTGGAGTCAGGTGGTTGGAGCACTACATAATCAAGTGCCAAGTATGGCTGGCAAGCCGATAAACTGTATATTCAGTTCAGTGCAGTGCAATTGAGTTTTATTATATATATTTAAAGCAACAAAGCGCACCAACAGTCACCTAAAGGCGCTTTATTAAACACCAACAAGCAAACAACCCAATTTGATCCAGCACGTGGAGAAAGTGGGAAGCAAAAACTCCATCTGTACTACAAGAAATCTCCAACAGAACCAGGCTCAGGGAGGGGCGGCCACCTGCTGCAACCGGTTGGAGATGAGTGGAGGAAGAGAGGACAAAAGACACTGTGGATGTATACGTCTAAAGCACAGTCTCATATCTCCTCCAAGAGACAGAATAATATAAAACTCATGTAAAACCTTCTTGGATGACCCTTCCTTCACAGGAAGTTCCATTATTTGTCACATAATATCATTTTAAAAAGTATCCAAAAGTTCATATATGTTCTAGAGGTGTGTGCTTTAAACATGAAAGTCTTTGGGGACTTGCTCACTTTTAGAGTCAACCTCTACTGGCCATGTTTGTGAAAAATCCCAATTGACAATGACAATAAATAAATAAATACTAAATACTAAATACTAAATGAGGTGATCTCTGAGTAGACTTTGTAGGATGCCACCTTTTGGCCGTTTAGTGGGCTCATAATGTTTGAATGGATGCCTGAAACTATAGGCTTCAACTAGGGCTCATTAAGGGGCTCATTAAAACCCATTAAGACTACCTTATAAGACAAAGTCATGACAACAAGATCAACTCTGTTGTTGAGATATTATATTTAGTCCTCATAAAATTACATAAAAGAAGCCATAGTTAGTTGTTCTGCTGTATTTAGGAACACTGTGCACAATGAACTCAGGGGTCACTGGGTATCTCTGCATTTTCAGCCTCACACAGTCTCACCCAGGCGACCCAGCTGGAGCTGATCAGTCGTCAATAAAGTGTAAGCAGCAAATTACACCGATAATACTTTCTTTTAATTTGTACTGATCCTGTGATTGTGGCAAGAAGATGTGGAGGCTCTCATGATGTCATATTTTAGCCCCGATAAAGGCGCTCCATGAACAGAATAGAATCATGTAGTGATTCATGACCATAACAAACTGACCTTTATTCATAAGATGTTACTACCTAATACATGCTAACATTTTCTTGCTCAACACTCACATGCAATTTATCTCATCTTCTTGGAACTCTCTTCTTTGATGGTGATAGCCCTGGGGTCCTGTGTGACTCAGCTGAGTCCAGTTCCCTCCTCCCTGCCCCTCGGTCCTTGTGTCAGCCTAAGAAACCTTCATGTATTCTTTTTTTTCTACAGCACTTCTCTTACATAACCACAAAATCCTCATTCAGGCTTATATGAAGCCGTTCTTCAGTCTACATTAAGCGGTCCCACTCAGGCTCTGCAGGAAGCCCGCAGACGTCCGAGTTAATCTGATCTCAAAGCCTCTGACATTAAGAGTGGGACTCAGAAACACTGAAAATACTGTAGGTTAAAAAAAAAGGAAATCTGAGCCATGAACCTATCTGTCTCCTCAAGTAAAATTAAGTAAAATAAATGTTTTGGCTTGGGTGGATGAAAAGCATGCTCCCAGCTGTTACCCTTAACCTCCTAAAAAAAAAAAAAAAAAAAAAAAAAAAAAAAAAGGCCTGACTTCAAAGACAATGGGTTTTTTACTGTGGGAATGCAGTAAAGACTCTGCACTCAACACATCAGTTCAAGTATGACAGAAATAAATGCAGCCTGACAGCTTCACTTTGATGGACAACCTCATCCTCTGTGGCAAAAATCCTGCTCACTGGAGGGTTGAATAAAATATACTATACAGCCAAAAGTATTCACTCATCCATCCAAATCATTGAATTCAGATGTTCCATTCACTTCCATAACCACATGGTGTAATAAAATTAAGCACCTGACTTCAGACTGCTTCTACAAACACTTGTGAAAGAATGGGTCGCTCTCAGGAGCTCAGTGAATTCCAGCATAGTACTGTGATAGGATATCACCTGTGCAACAAGTCCAGTCAGGAAATTTCCCTCGCTACTAAATACTCCACAATCAACTGTTAGCAAAAGCATTTGGGAATGACAGCAACTCAGCCACAAAGTGGTACGTCAGGTAAGATCACAGAGCGGGTCAGTGGACGCTGAGGCGCATAGTGCACAGGGGTCAACAGTTTTCTGCAGAGTTAATCACCACAGACCTCCAAACGTCATGTGGCCTTCAGATTAGCTTAGGAACACGCCACAGAGAGCTTCATGGAATGGGTGTCAATGGCTGAGCAGCTGCATGCAAGCCTTACATGACCAAGTGTAATGCAAAACGTTGGTATAAAGCACGCCCCCACTGGACACTAGAGCAGTGGAGACTTCTAGTGACAAACTACTTCTCCATCTGGCAATTCAATGGATAAGTCTGGGTTTGGTGGTTGGCAGGAGAACAGTACTTGTCTGACTGCACTGTGCCACGTGTAAAGTTTGGTGGAGGGGGGATTATAATGTGGGGTTGTTTTCCAGAAGTTGGGTTTTACCCCTTTGCTCCAGTGTAAGAAACTTTTAATGCTTCGGCATACTGAGACACTTTGGAAAATTTCATCTCCCAACTTTGTGGGAGCAGTTTGGGGACGCCCCCTTCTTGTTCCAACATGACTGCACACCAGTGCAGGTCCATAAAGACATCGACGGGTGAGTCTGGTGTTGAAAAACTTGACTGGCCTGCACAGAGTCCTGACCTCAACCTGAAGCAAGACCTTTGGGATGAATTAGTACAGAGACTGATTGGGATGTCACCCAAATTCATATCCGTGTGATGGCAGATGAGCAAATACTTTTGGCAATAGAGCGTACATAAGAAAATATAAAAGATGCCAGGATGTTTTTGAAAACTGCTCTTTTTTTTTTTTTACTTAACACACCCAAGACTGCACAGATGTGTCTGTTGTCACCTGAAGGCAATTAAAATCTTCTCTTCTTGATTTCTAGTGAGGAGAAACAAGGTTATTGCTCCTTTCCAACCACCTGCACTTGTGAACTTTGAAACACCAACCGCAGTCCAACAACATGAAGGCATCAGGACTTCAGCAAACATGGCACAAACTACAAGAAGTAGCCTGTTCTTCTCATTTTCTCCACTGTGAGCATCACTATGATCCTTGTAGAAGCGTAATGCAGTCACTCGAGAAAAAAAAAGTCCCGTGTTTCAATCTCAGAAAAAATCTGCTCTGTTTTTCCAAAATAATGAGATGCCTCCTCCATGAATGTGGGAATGTTCTTCCTGCTTACGCCGAGTAGGGCTTGTTACTTCTGCTGCCAGTTTTTAATCCATCTGTACTTCCATTGACTCCCAAATCTTCTAACAGCTTTTTACTTTTACTCTCTACACTTTAACCACTTTCTATACTTTACATTTAATAATCGTACTTTAGTTTTAAAACATTTGAGGTGTGTTATTATTTCACTGTGCACCTTCCAGACATCATAGCAATATGAATGTATATGTAGGGAATGATAACACATAAAAGACAGTCCCACTGGTGTATCTGTCAACTGATTTGCAAGGTGTAGAGTTGAAAGATGCAAATACACACAAAAAAACCCCACACATGCAGGGAAGATGAGTGTGAAGCAAAGACAGAGAAAAGTACAGCTCGTGATGTCATCACATGAAATCAAGACACTGCTGTTAGCATTGCACAAAAATAGCTAGTGAAAAAAGAAATACTTTTTATTTTCGAGTCCAAACTTTTGACTGGTTCTATAAAAAATTAAACTGGACTAATCTAATTCAGGAAAACAGAGCAGTTTTTTTATTACATGTTTTTGGAATTTCTAAGATAAGTATCCAAATTAATAATTCAGAAAAATATTTTTAATTTCAAGAAAAGTTATATAAGAATTATTGCATGTACATCTTGTTCATTTAAAAAAAAAAATGGCTGCATTTGTTCTTGAAAAAAAGTGCATTAGGCTCTGTTGTTCCTCTTTCTTTTAATGTTAGGTGAAACTCGACTTTCCAAATCAATGGAAACACCTCTACAACTAGCAGATATGTTAATGTGTTAATGTGTATTAGTAGCACTGAACTACTGTGCTGACGTGCAGTAAAACACTACAAAGCTGCTTCTTTGCCTGTTATCGTTTACACTGCTGCTAGTAAATCCTTGTGTTTCTTTGCTGATATTTCTGATTTTCTGTAAATGTTTAAATTTCTCAGTGGCTGGTTCCATGAGGAAGTAAACATCAGCTCATCAGCTTCAGAAATAGATCAGTGCTCGTTTGTCTTGTATTTACGTAGAGCTATGTTCAAAGATCATTCAGGTTTTTCAGATGTATGTGTGAAAATCCACATTAGTTGTTCAGTTCAGTTCATTTTTTATTTCAAACATATACATTCACCAACATATCACAACACCAGTGTACAACAACAACAGCTGTTGTACATTCACTCACATTTGCATGAGTAACGCCCTGTTTTAACCCCGAAGAACATTACAAAATTACATGATTAAAAAATGAATAAAAAGACAAATTCATTAGATGAACTGAATTTTCAGACAAACTTCCCATTCATAATGACTACTTTGCAACATACCACAATAGCTTACTAAAATTAGCACTCACGGAGCTGCTGGCATGGCTCTTACACCTGTTTAAATATACAGAAGATTTTCTGCTACGTAAGACTACGTAAGATTTTCTTCTACGTCATTTCACAAAGGTCAACTTTCATGCTATAATGATGTTTGAACACGTGACAATTTAAAGGAAAGAACTGGACCCTTGCCCTCTGCAGTAAAGCAACACGGTCGGTGTTGTGGTTTCACTCCATTTGTCACGATGCTGTGGCTCTGGGTTATCACCTCTGTCCTCTGATGAAATGTTTCTTTGCTAATAAGAGTTCAAAGAATGATAAAAAGAGTGAACATTTTGTGAAATGTATGACATTGCCTTTCAAACCCAACTGAACACCTACTGTAGAAGATTTTGTGTTTTAGTTTTATCCCCTGTTGATGGACTGGGGCTCTAACGCTTTGTGAACCTAAGTGCTTAAGAAGATAACTGGATGGTGGATCCCTTCCACCAAAGTTTCTGAGACTACCCACCTTTTCTTTTTCTTCTAACATTTCTTAAAATCTAAATCAATACAAGATGATATAATAATAATAATAATAATAATAATAATGATAATAATGATAATAATAATAATAATGTTGGTAAAACTAGACAAGGTGATATTCTGTTTATAGTGTGTCATACCTCATTACACCCATTTTATCTACACTGGCGTTTCATAAAACTATATCCTGTTACAAACTGTGTAGTCCTCTGTAGTAAAAAGACACCATAGTGTGTCCCATGTATATACTGTCTTCTTATCTTCCACATGCCTTAAAAACTTTAAAAATCCGTGCTTTAAGATGCTTTGTAGGCCTATAATTGTACTATAGCAATACTTTACACTTGTATCAGGGAAATAAATTATTTCAATATCTTTACTTTGATCTGTGTGTTCGTTTTTTGCTTCAAAATTATGTTGCTTTAATATAAAATAGAGGGCAGTATCCATGGCTTCTGTTGATTAACCCATATTTTTATGTGTTGTTTAGTGGTGAGGGTGTGGTGTTTATTTCCCCTTTTCACTGAGTCAAGTTTCAGTCTTCTGATGATGTCTAACTGCTGATTGTCAACAGCTTGTTCATTGTTTTTCTGTTTACATAGAGACTCTATTCAGGGCAGAGGGTCTGACCAGAGCAGGTTAAACCGGTCACACGAGTTTTATATCACCACACATTCACCGCACGAGTAGTAACAATAGGAGTGTGTACCGGTGGCAGCAACAGCCTGAATCACTAACAGATTTTACATCAGTGCTCACTGTGGCTCCATACTCGGAGGAAGACGGTGAAAGGTAAAGTGAAAAGTGATCCTTGGTAGTGGTAGTATCATGGTCAGGGCCTGTTTTGCTGCATCTGAAGCAGGGCAGTTACATTTCTTTAGTGTTTGATCACCAAAAATGAAACCTCATTTAAAATGTGACAAATGTAGACAGACGTATGTGTGTTTGGCTGCTGGCTAACACGTGATTTTAGGCATGTAGACATGATCAAGACGACTTGCTAAAGTTCAATGTGAGCATCAGAATGGAGAAGAGATTCATGTTACTTTAAACATCACATGTTAGTTAATGCCAGGCAGGCTCATCTGAGTATTTCATAAAATGCAGATCTAGTGGGATTTCCCACCACAACCATCTCTGGGGTTTATAGAGAGTTATCAGAAAAAGAGAAAATACCCAGTGAGCTGCAGTTGAATGCCAAATCCATCCCTTAGCTGGTTTCTTGGACATGACGAATCATGGTATCATGTCAATATGGACGAAACTCTCTGAGGACCTATCAAATGCTTCCAGCACCTTATTGTGTCATTGTGGTGTTTTAAAATGCTGTTTGAGCAGACTGGCTTCTGGGTCCAATAAAGCATAAACAAATTAAGATATATGCATTTGAGTATGTTAAACTGTACTAGGGAAATGTGATAGATATAGTACCGTCTCACTGTCTTTAACAGCTGCTGACAGATAAACCATTCATAACCTCTTACTTCCTTCCTTCAGTTTTCTTTCACTCCTTCTCCTAACATTTCCCTCCTTATGGTAAATGGACTGGTTCATATATAGCACTTTGCTATTCTGAGTACCCATTTACACACATTCACACAAACACTTTTTTCTATGCTGTGATTTCTATCTAACATTCACACGTATGCTAACGTGGGGTCAGTATCTTGCCTATAAGGTTATTTGGCATGCTGACTGGAGCAGACTGGGATCAAAACACCAACCTTCTGGTTAGTAGGTGACCTGCTTTACCACCTGAGCACCCCTGTGTAGGCCTGCACAGTATATTTATTTATTATCCACCCCTGTCCAGACAGTCCGAAACATGAGAAATTTTGACTGGCTCTACAAGACACTTTTCTAAAATCTGCCTTTTATTCAATGCATATGAAGGGAATGCGTTTTTATTATAGTCAGAAGGAGAAGGTTGATCATATTCACCAGGAGAAATTACCAAGAATTACAAGATTTGCAGATTTTGGTGCCTATGATAGAAACTACCACAAAGAAAGTGAAGCAACAGTGAATACATACTGTTTTTAATGTCAAAACCTGTTACCAGACATAACAGCAGCTGAAATAACAGTGAAATAAAAGAATATAGGAGTATAGAAAGACTTTCACATGTGGCCACAAGAACAAACTTATGCTTCCATTTATCCTTATTATGTTTACTTAGCAAAAGAGCAGGAAATGTGATATATTAGTCCTGTAACATGCTCAGTTTAATCTATTCTTAAATTCTAAAATGGATATGAAAATGTAACACTACCACCTGGCATTGTCCCACACAGACACACTGATGCACTGCATATTAGCAGTCAACTAGATTAAACAAATTAGCTTGCTAAACCATGGTTTCATTTCAGTTACCCAACCGATTCATTCCAATTTCGTTATAACAATCCAACTTGTTTGAAATTTTAAAAAAATGCAAACAAAAACAAACTTTTCATTCCAAGCTTGCAACAGCCCCCTCCCATCACTCCCTAGTCACTCCCGCTTTCCCTCGGTACAACACCCCTGCACGTACTCACCCTCATTCCATAACCAGACAATCAAACGGGGACTTTTTCTTTTTTTAAGTAGGGCAACACAGGATGGACCAAGAACAAAGCAATTATAGTATTTAACAAGACAAATATACTGGCATAGTAGGCACAGTGTTCAGGCTCATTTGCAGCTCTGTAAATTAACACAGATGTATAATACTCTGAGTTTAACATTTGTTTTTTTATTGAATAACTGTTTTACAAAGTGGTGAAACCAGTATTCACACTTTACTTCAGTTACATTCATAATCCTAATTACAATAAGTAATAGTCCAAACATTTTAGTGTCACATTAGACCTGAACTGGCTAAAAGTGCTCATTACGCAGAATCATTTAAATGATGTCAGCCATTATGAGACCTAAAACTGCCACGTTTAAGGCCAAACCTCTCACCACAACACGGACTGTGCACAACTCTTAGATGAACAATATTGCCTTTGCATTCTTGTGTTTTCACTGATTTACTCTTTTATTACCATAACTAGCTTGTGCTATTTCTTTTAAAGTTCTTTTAAAGGTGAAAGAATGAAATTGTAGGTACAAGTGGCTTTCTCTGAAGGGTGGATGGGCTCTCCCTTGGAGATGGGGTGAGTAGTTCAGTCATTCAGGAGGAGCTCAGAGTAGAGCCGCCGCTCCTCCACATCACAAAGAGGCTAAGGCTGTCACTGACTGGGAAAGGTGTTCCGGGTGGGTATGTCTAACTGAGTGGAGGACCCAGGGTAAACCGTGGGTGTGCTGGAGAGATTACATCCATCAGATGGCCTGGGAATGGCATGATACTTCCCTGGATAAGCTGGAGGAGGTGGCAAGAGGGAGGTATGGGCTTCCCTGCTTCGGCTGCTGCCCCGTGACCTGATTTCAGATAAGCGGAAGAAAATGGCTCGTTTTCGTACTTTCCACTACTGGCCTTACACAGGCTCTCATGGTGTAATGCATGTAAAATGAGTGGCACTATTGTCCAGTGGGACTGTTGGGTGGACACTGGGGAGGCCAATCATATTTCACAGGGAGGCAGTGCCACCCCATCCTCCCTATGTGGCAACAACCCTGCTGTCAATACATGAACTCAGGATGATCAGGATGATATGGGGTAAAAGTAAAAGAAGTAACATTTGATTAACATTGACAAGCCCTATTTATTCGTATAATTAATTAAATAATTTATTGATTACATCAAAAGATAAATTATGAAACTATGAACATCTATACATGTTTTCAAGCTTTTAGTAAGCTTGTTCCAGGCCTTAATAGCCATAAATAAAAAAAAGGATTCACTCAAAAGAACTTTGAGCAGCTGCCCTTGAAGCTCTACTTACCAGCTCTGAGCAAAGTTGTCTTTTCTGCAGTGCAGATTTAGCACTGAGAATTAAAACGAGACAAACATCTGAGTGCAAGATTAGATTCAAATAACTCTTATCACTGAGGATCAGAATGAGGGAAAAACTACATTTGAAACGGCTTTGAACGTGGCATGGTTCTTGGCGCCAGATGGGCTGGTCAGAGTATTTTAGGAACTGCTGATCTGCTGGGATTTTCCCCACACAACCATCTCTAGGGCTTACTGAGAATGGTCCAAAAAAAGAGACAATGAGCAGCAGCTCTCTGGACAAAACCTCACTGTTGATGTCAGCTAAGAACTGGGAACTGAAGCTACTGTTTGCACAGGCTCACTGAAATTGAACAACAGAACACTGGAAATGTTTTTGGCTCGATTTCTGCTGCAACACTGAAAAGGGTAGGTTCAGAATTTGGTGTGAACAACATGAAAGCATGGATTCGTCCCACCTTGTACCAGTGGTTCAGGATGCTGGCGGTGTAATGATGTGGGGGATGTTTTCTTAACATACTTTGGACCCCTTAGTACCAGATGAACGTCGTATAAACATCACATCACCTACACGATTATTTTTGCTGATCATATCTATCCCTTTATGATCACCTCCCCTGGTGGCTAGCAGCGGGATAACACGTCATTTCACAAAGGTCAAATCATCTCAAACTGTTTTGTTGAACCGCTGGTGTCTGTGAGTTCCCTGTACTCAAATGGCTTCCACTGTCACCAGATCTCGATGTAATAGAGCACCTTTGGGATGTGGTGGAGGGGGGAGATTTGCATCAACCAAATGTGCAGAAACTTTGTGATGTTATCATGTCAAAACAGACCAGAATCTCCGAGGACTGTTTCCTGCAACTTGTGGAATATGCCATAAAGAATTAAAGCCACGCTCTTGCTATCACTGGGTATGCTATCGCAACCAAGTAGAAGCAATAAAGCGCCTGATAAAGTAGCTGGTGAGTGTAGTTTCGGTATAAAAGTCCCTTTTATGACACCGGAAGAGTGACTCAGAAGAATGGCACCGCCCAAAAAGGTCATGGGTGAAACTGCAGTGGAGCTGCACACACAGCACACCTGCAGTTTCTAAGCTACGCCCACATACCTGAGAGAACCAGGAAGAAGGATTTTTCGAGGCTCGCCAAAACTTTGTTCCGTCAAAATCCTCTCCTTCCTCACCCTTCCTTTGTCCAGTTCAGCTTTTGGGATTACTCTGCTGCCTGCGGTCACATAAGGACAGGACACACGAAGTTTCACCTGGTAAGTAGGTCCGGCATTGTCCGCAGTGAGTATCGATTTGCTTTCACTGTGTTTGTGGCGCGCACTGCCATTTTACCCCATCTTTATCTGGTGCCTGTGTAAATTTAAGGTGGGGCTCCGACAGCTTAAGCAACTAATAACATTTTTTAGCTTGGTTCTTGAAGGCAGCAAGGTGTCATATTTTAATTTATTTGATAGTTTCTTCT